AGGTCAGGCCATGTTTTTCATGCTGACCAGACATGGATTTACCTCTGTTCTGGTGGGGTCTCTTCTCCCTGTTTCGCTCTGTCTGGAAATCAGGACTGATAGACACAGGAATGTCTGCAAATTAATGCTGAGCCGATGGAACTTCTGTTGACTGCTCCTTATGACCTTTCAAATGCCTTTTGCTTTTACGTTGTTCTTTCTGATGGTTTAACTTTGATTCCAACAGTTGATGTTGGAAACCCCTGCATTACTTTTGATTCAGGGCTGTCATACCAAAAGCAGATTTCATGATCTATGAATCCTATTTTAGTGCAGGAACAAGATTAAGCTTATAGTAATGTGCCATTATGCACAGAGACTTGACTGAAATCAAAATATTGTAGTTCACAGCTGACTGTTTCTCTCATTCATCCATGTCCATTGTCTTCAGTCATGAAAAAAACCCAGTGGGTTGTGTTATAACAACTACTAAGTCCATCACTCACATAACACAATTCCACATCCTTGTATGCCTATCTCCCCTCATCCCTGAGCACCACCTTGTGACTGGGTACCCTATCGCCAGAATTACTGCCTCACTTCCCTTCTCATGCCCCTAAGAACCATAAGACATGCTTTCTTACCTCCTTGTGGCTCATTTATTAGAAAAACATTATGCAAATAATCCATAACAAAAGTTCCAATGCGTGGTCTTTTTGTCACCCACAACACAAATAGTCCTTAAATCTATGACATCTAATCCACCAACATAGCATATACTACACTCCAGTATCTTCCATCATATGTGGTCTCTTATTTGCTCCTCTCCTGTCTTTGTGCCAGGGTGGCCACCCTGGTTCCTGGGGCAGCAGTACAACCCTATTCTTTCTAGCAAGAACACACACGCTCATCCTCACTGCTAGAAGTTCATCCTCATCAAGGGTGCATCTATCACGCTTCCTCCCACCCCAGTTACATTAACTTCTTCTCTCAGATAGGTCATCAACTGGATCCTTCCACTGCTCCCCTGGCTCTCAGCTCTCCAGTATGGAAACATCAGGAGTTAAACCCTATCCACTACTACCTTCTGTCCAGCACACGGCTCTGGCTTACCAACTTGGAAATCAGCAAGCAACTCCCTTTGCTGTCTTTAGCTTTTGTCAGCTTTTCCCATAAACTTCACATGGCTTCCTTCAGGGACAGCCTCCTTCTCCATTTCTCCTTGATCCTGTCTTTGTGCCAGGGTGGCCACCCCAGTTCCTGGGGCAGCAGTACAACCCTACTCTTTCTAGCAAGAACACACACGCTCATCCTCACTGCTAGAAGTTCATCCTCATCAAGGGTGCATCTATCACGCTTCCTCCCACCCCAGTTACATTAACTTCTTCTCTCAGATAGGTCATCAACTGGATCCTTCCACTGCTCCCCTGGCTCTCAGCTCTCCAGTATGGAAACATCAGGAGTTAAACCCCATCCACTGCTACCTTCTATCCAGCACACGGCTCTGGCTTACCAACTTGGAAATCAGCAAGCAACTCCCTTTGCTGTCTTTAGCTTTTGTCAGCTTTTCCCATAAACTTCACATGGCTTCCTTCAGGGACAGCCTCCTTCTCCATTTCTCCTTGATCCTATATAGCCCCAGATACTGCCCCACCCTTTACCTGGACAGAATGAGAGCATTAGTACTAGCACGGGGTGCTGGACTTGCTTCATTTAAAGGGGCCAGTTAGCCTGACACTGCCCCCATTAGCTTCCAGGGCAGAGAGCTGACCCCTATTGTAGAGCATCATTTATAAAATTTCTTTTTTCACATGAAATTCACAGAATGTTAATCTGCTTTTCTAAGGAGCTTCAGGGGATAGCCGAGTTAGTCTGTTACAGACAAAAAACAGCAGAAAAAAAGTTCTACCAGACCATTTGCTTGCTGGGTTTTTTTCTTCTTTTTTAAGGAAATTGTCTGTTCCATGTTGTCTAATAAGGAGATATAAAGCACTGCCCAGGTGTGCTGACTTCTGCCTGATCAGAGGTCCTCAGTGATGCAAGTCTCCTCAGGGTAAGAAGCTGAAACACAGGAAGCTGCCATAAATTGTCATCTGCTGGCATCCCTGAGGCGGGTCTAGGGGAACAGTTGAAGCCGTTGAAACAGTTGAAGCTGGCTGCAGAGGGTTTGCAAGCAGGACAGCTGGGAGATGGGTTTAAGGGCCTGAAGCTGCTTGGAAAGTTAATTTAAAGTGCAGGCATTCAGCTGAAACATTTTCAGTTTCACCTGATCCTCTTTCCAAAGGTGGACAACTTGCTGAAAAATAGCACCATTTTGGATGTTAATAATGGGTTGCCCATTGTCAGGGTAATATGCCAGTTGCTATCCTGTGTAAATGTTGTTTTAACAACCAAACAAAGTTTAGCATCAAAATGCCATTTAGAAAACTGATTTTTTCCCTCAGCCGTTTGTTAACAGTTTATAAGGTTCACAGTGATGCTTGTGTGAAAGAGGTTAAAAAGCTACAAATGGTGATGGGCAGAACTACTACTTCAAGATCTTTCCATTTAGTTCTGTCCTTCCCAGCACCCAACAGCATTTCTCTGCTTGTGGATTTGAAGAATACTTTAAATTCTCAGGTGCATGGCGTTTCAGGATTTCAACATTGTTTTATCAATTTGTACAGGGCTAAGTTTGATCTTAGTCCATTCCCTGTGGAGGCAGAGGTCCATTGTATCCAAACACCCTTAGAGTTAGCACTAATTTTCCCTCTTTATGGCAGTCTCGGCAGAGAGAGCAAGGACTGAATAGGCCATTGAAAATGAATTGCCCTCTCATCCTGTAACATAGCAGGACTCACCACTGCAGCACCTCCTGCTGGTCACTCTGGGAATTAGCTCTTCAGCTCTGGAGCACCAGCATTGGCTGGTGTGTTATCCACTGTTACCTATTTTTCCTCCATTTCTGTGTGAGGACCCACGTCCCTCCCAGACCCTGGTGTCCTCGCCTCTGGGTATTGCCCTACTACAGTGCCCCCACACTCTGGCTAAGTCTACACTGGCGAGTTCTTGCGCAAGAACACATCCACACTGCCATGTGCTGTTTGCTTGGCAGTATGGACGCTCTCTTGTGCAAGAAACCTCTGATGGCCATTTTAGCTATAGGAGTTTCTTGTGCAAGAAACCCCTGCCGCGCATCCACACTGCCCTCTTGCGCAAGAGCTCTTGCACAAGAGGGCTTACACTTGTTAGAAAAGAGCATAGCTCTTGCGCAAGAAGCCCTGTCTTCCAATGCCATACTGTAAATCTTCTTGCGCAAGAGTTGGCAGGCAGTGTGGACGCTCTGCGGGTTCTTGCGCAAGAATGGCCATTCTTGCATAAGAACCCGCCAGTGTAGACATAGCCTCTGAGTCCACCCCCTCTGAGAACTCCCAGTTCTTGCGCAAGAATGGCCATTCTTGCATAAGAACCTGCCAGTGTAGACATAGCCTCTGAGTCCACCCCCTCTGGGAACTCCCAGCCCCCTATGCCCACCTTGCCTCAGTGACCCACTTCCAGTTTTCATCTATCCCCTGCCACAGGGGCAAACTGAAATGGCTACTCATCATTGGCAAGGGGGTGTGCACCTACTGCCTTTACCTACTCTGGCTTCCTCTTTGCAGCCCTAGTATCCTCAGGCCTTGTTTCAGGCCCTGCAGCCTGGGAACTTGCCTGACCAGAACTTCGCCAGCTGTGCCTGCCTTTCCCCAGCCCTGCTCTGTATCAAGAAACCTCTAGCTTCCTTGGCAGCTAGATCCCTCCTGCTCCCCAACTGAAGCAAGAGTGAGTCTGTGGGTATGTCTAGACTACATGGCTCCATCGACTGAGCCATGTAAAGTAGTTTATTCGACATAGTCAAAGAAGCGGGGATTTAAATAATCCCTGCTTCGTTAAAATAAAAATAGCCACCACACTGTGCCGACGATCAGCTGATCCGGCACAGCGCGGCAATCTAGACGCGGTGCGGTCGACAAAGGAAGCCTTTGTGGACCGCTCCGGTAAACTTCATTTCATGAGGCATACCGGAGCAGTATGATCAGCTGATCGTCGGCACAGTGTGGTGGCTATTTTTATTTTAACGAAGCAGGGATTATTTAAATCCCCGCTTCTTTGACTATGTCGAATAAACTACTTTACATGGCTCAGTCGATGGAGCCATGTAGTCTAGACGTAGCCTGTATTTCTCCTCCCTGTCAGGAGCCTTCATTTATACTCCTCTCCGCTGGGCCCTAATTGGCTAATACCTGCCACAGCTGCTGGCTCCACCACTCGAGCCCCTTCCCAGGATTGAGTTTTAACCCTTACAGGGCCAGTGCCAGGCAGATGCCCCATCTCACATCCCAAGAGGGACTCTCTGCAAGGCAGAGGTGGGGCAGGCAAGGCAGTAGAGGAAGCAGAAGCTGCTGCTGCTCATGTTCTATTCTATTCTTTTCTGCGCTGTTGACATGTCTGTGTGTTACACACATCAGTGCAGTGCCTGAGAGCCTTCCACCATTAAGCAATGTGACCACACATCTTTCACATTCTGTTTGCTCTTTCATCCTCTGCTCAGAGGGCGATGTGTGTGCAATGAAGTGTCGTGTTTTGGTAGGATTTTTTTAAACAATATAGATACAGGATAGGTGTGTGTGTTAGAGAAGGCAGCTCAGACAAACATGCTTGTACTTGGAGAGGAGGATGCTGAGGTTTGTGATGGTCCTTGGTTCCTGGGGAAGTTCATGCCACAGTCTTGGGCTGCTGGCTCCTGAAAAAATTCTGTCTCCCCATAGACTTGCTTTGCCCTTATTGTAGAGAGTTCATTATGCAGATCCCTGGGACTGTTAGATTGGCACCTTTCATCAACCACACCATTAACTTCAAGTAAGTAAACCCAACCCAGGACCCCCCCCGCCCAAAGAATTAACCCCCCAGCCATCCCAAGCCCTGCTAAAGAGCTGATCCAACATTAGGAGTACTTTCTGGGTTAGCCTGCAGGGCCCACCCCCTTCTGCTGACGTCTTCCTTGTATCACACATCAGATTTTTCCCAGTGGAGCGGGAGAACAAGCTTCAATGAAAACTGCCTGTTTGCGGCTTGAAAGGGATTGCAGGCACCACAGCCACTACTACTTCTGCTTTTGCCTGCCTGGCCAGGAGCAGAAAACCTGAAACTCCATCATCAGCTGGAAGAGGCAGCATCATTGCCTAGCAAACCTGGGATAATGTATTTCTCTCTTCAGAGTCATTTCTTTTCCCTGCTTGAAAGAGAATGAAACCAGCCTAAACTCTGAAAGGGACTGAATGAAATACACGCTGCTGGAGCAGAAGAATTCTTGTGTAATATCTGTGCAGCTTGAGACAATGGTTTTGTCTGTCCCAGTTATAGCTCTGGGTGCCACCTTGGGGACTGCAACAAGCATCCTTGCCCTGTGCGGTATTACCTGCCTGTGCAAATGCAGGCAACCTAGGAAAGGACTTGAAAAGGACCAAGAGACGGACACTGAAAATGCGAAGTCCAGTATGCTTCAGCCAGTCCAGCAGGTAAACCTCCTTCTCTAATTTACTCTGCCACTTTTCCTTAAAGTGCAGATGGCAGGCATGCATATGCCATGCCAGACGGTGGTGGGTGATTTATGACATCCTATTTGTTTGTCGGATTCAGGATGTAGCAGCCTTTCAGTGGGGGAAGGGGAAACTCAGGTGACCTGGAAAAAAAAAAGCAACAGTCAGCTGTCATTTTAAAGAGACAATACAGAAAAGAAGATTTGAAATTCTACTTGAATTGTCAGGCTAGATCGCAAGGGAAATCATTTGGCTAGAACAGAAACCTGGGCGCCACTAAGGTACAATAATAGTTGCGTGCAGAGAAGCAGAATGCCAATAGTATTAGATTTTTTATAATCTCTCTTCACACACACTTATACCTCTGGCTACTGCAGTATAGGTGGAAAGGCTTCTGTGTAAACATCTGGTTAATTACAAAAACACTGCTCCATGTGTGAAACAGATTAAGTTTTTAGGAAAGTTAAACTGTGCGGTTAAAAGAAGATATATAATATAAATCTAGTAACAACCTTAACTGTGGAGTCTACTCTCGCATCATACCTACTGTGACCTGTTTTTTCTTTTCCTTACTAGAACATAGGTTTCAAAGTGCTGCAAATTCTAGACATCCCCTGTGAACTCACTCAATTGCTCAAAGAATTCAATCGATACAGGTGCAGAGGGACTGGCTGGCTGGATCCAACTGACAGTCAGTCCATTTACACCTGTGTTCTGTCAGTGGCCAGTGCCAGATGCATCAAGCAGTGAAGTGTGACACGTCCCTGCTGTACCTAACAATGGAATACTCAATGCTGTACCTTGAGGAGATTTGTTTTTCAGAACTTTTTTTTCCCTTGGCTGATTATGACCTTAGGTCTGAAACACAAAGCTGATGGTCACTGAAAGTTTTAGCTTGGCTCATGTTTCTGTAGATGCTGTTCTCATTTATATGGGTCAAATGAAATTTTTCCCTTCTTACTATGCCTTAATTTTCCCCAATCATATGCTACATAGGCCAGTTCCAAAGCTGATGATACATTATATAACAAAGTCTTTATTCACTTGCCTTTAAATTACATGCACTGCTTTGTTATTTTTGCATTATTGAAAGCTGTCGTGGGAGTCCTAATTGGCTTTCTCTGTGCCATTCAGTAGTGAATACTCAGTCCCTCCATAATGGGCACTCTTTTTCTTTCCAAAGTAAATAGACCTAGTCTTACCATATTTCTCCTGCAGTTGTTTTGAGACAAGATGGCCAAAGGTGATTATTTACAGTGTTGTGGCCATGTTGGCCCCAGGATGTTAGCCAGACAAGGTGGGTGGGGTAATATCTTTTGTTGAACTGACTTCTATTGGTGAAAGATACATGCTTTCACGCTACACAGAGCTCTTTGTCAAGTTACCTGGCTCTGTGTAGCTCAAAAGTTTGTCTCTTTCACCAAATGGTAGTCAATCCAATAAACAACACTACCTCATCCACCTTGTGTCTCAGAGCTGATTATAACATCTGTGGAATTCGCATCTAATAGCACAGTGGTTCCCAAACTTTTTGGCATCACACCCCCTTTTTGATTTTTGAGGAAACCTTCACATCCCCTCCACCCCACAAAAAAATAGCAGCAAAACTTGTTGACCAAAAAAAAAAGTTGCCCTTTTAAGAACAGAGCAGGCATTGCCCTTTTAAGGTGGCCATTTTAAAGTCTGCCCAGGATGCTCCATCCTCCTTCCGCCCCAGCCAGCCCGAGCTGCACATGTTCTGGCGGATGCCCGAGCCAGGAAAAACAGAAAATACTGGACATTTCACATGGTATTTTCTGAATTTTTTCACCTGATGTAGCAGGCTCTTTGGTGGGGATGGGGTTGCCAGATGGTAAAACAAAAAATACCAAACACCCCCCTCTCCCCTCCCCCCAAAAACCACCGGGAAACATTCTGTCAAGGAAAAAAAAGGAGACACCAAAGTTGTTAAGCAAAAAAAAGCCCCCAGAACAGAATTGTCGAGCCTTTAAAAAAGGAGGCTGCCCATTTAAGATGGCCGCCATCTTGGGGGCCATTTTTAAAACCCCGCAGCTCTGACCCACTAAGCACAGGGAAGCTGAGGGCCAGAGGGGAGCTGGCCGAGGGACGGGGGCCGTTTGGAGGGGCGCAAGAGCGGCTTCGTGAGCCCATTTTGGGGGGCAAGAGCCATATGTGGCTTGCGAGCTACGGGTTGGCTACGGCTGGTGTTGAGGGAGGCATCATGTGGCCAGCTCCTGGGTCTCTGATGGTTACATGGGCCAAAGCAGCGTGCGCTCCACTCCCACCCCAGCCCGGTGCCTCCCTAGCGTGGTGCCCAGCAAGTGCCTCCTCCTGCCTGCCCCCCCTTTGCTAGACTCTGCTGTGCTCACTTCCCCACCCCCGCCAGATGCAGAAGGGGAAAATTGTCCCTGCTGGGCTTCCATTGGAGGGAAACAGGAAATACCGGACATTTCACATGTCTGGTATTGCCTGTTTTTTTTTACTGGATGGAGCTCGCAAATACCGGACTGTCCAGGTGAATATCGGACACCTGGCAACCCTAGTTTGGGGGGGGGCTATGGGAGAGTAACTGGGAATTAATTTACACTGGCAGAGAAAAATCAATGCAAGATATGCAACTCCAGCTACAAGAATTGTGTAGTTGGAGTTGTTATACCTTGCATTGATTTTCTGGGGCAGCCTCACAGCAGGAGGTCTGTGGGAGAAACTCTGCCATTGACTTCCCTTACTAAGTGCATGGAGCTGCAGGAACATTTTAAAGAATGGGGGTGCTGACATCTCCCCCTCCCACCTATCCTGCCCCCTCCTCCAGTGAGGCCAGGAGCAAAGCCCTGGTGTGTGGGGCAGCAGCCGGGACCTGGGGCATGGGGCTAGCAGCAGAGGCCCCAGCATGTGGGGCCAAAGCAGAGCCCTCGGGGGTACAGGGCTGGCAGCTGGAACCCCAGGCCTGAAGTCAGCCCCCGGAGCACAAGGCAGTAGGGGGGTCCTTAGTGCAGGACTTACAGCAGAGCCTGCAGCATGTGGGAAGGCATCTGGAATCCTGGCTGCTAGACCAGGAACCCAGGAGTGCTGCAGCACCCCCCACACGCCTAGTCCTCACACCTATGTCAGTGAGGAGGGAAGAGGGTGTTTTCCCATGTAGATTTCATAGAATTATAGAACCATAGACCTGGAAGAAACCTTAGAAGACCATCAAGTCCAGCTCCCTGCCCAAGGCAGGACCAATCCCAACTAAATCAACTCTACTACTTCCCTAGGTAACCCATTCCAGTGCTTCAGCACCCTCCCAGTGAAATAGTTTTTATTAATATCCAACCTGGACGTCTCCCACCACAACTTGAGACCATTGTTCCTTGTTCTGCCATCTGTCACTACTGGGAACAGCCTTTCTCCATTCTCTTTGGAACCTCCCTTCAGGAAGTTGAAGGCTGCTATCAAATCCCCCTCACTCTTCGCTTCTGCAGACTAAATAGACCCAACTCCCTCAGTCTCTCCTTGTAGGTCATATGCTCCAGCTCCCTAATCATTTTGATTGCCATCTGCTGGTCCCTCTCCAATGCATCCCCATCCTTTCTGTAGTGGGGGGCCCAGAACTGGACACAATACAGGTACTCCAGATATGGCCTCACCAGAGCCAAGTAAAGAGGAATAATCACATCTCTGGATCGACTGGCAATGCTCCTCTTAATGCAACCTAATATGCCATTAGCCTTCTTGGCTATAAGGGCATTCTGTTGACTCATGTCCAGCTTCTCATCCACTGTAATCCCCAGGTCCTTTTCTATAGAACTGCTACATATCCAGTTGGTTCCCAGCCTGTAACAATGCTTGGGATTCTTCCATCCCAAGTGCAGGACTCTACATTTGTCCTTGTTGAACCTCATCAGATTTCTTGTGGCCCAATCCTCCAATTTGTTTAAGTCACTCTGGACTCTATCCCTGCCCTCCAGCATATCTACCTCTCCCCTTAGCTTAGTGTCATCCACAAACTTGCTGAGGGTGGAATCCATCCCCTCATCCTGGTCATTTGCCTGTAATTATTTTGAATTTCCCCTGCCGATGTGTTTTCCAGTTTCCTAGGTCCTCCTCTGGTTTCTCGGTAGCTTTGGCTAACCTAATAGATGATTAACTACTGATATTTCTAGTTTAGTCTATGAGCCAATACGATGCAACAAGGCTGAGATTTTCAAAGTGTACAATTAAAAATGAATGGGAACTGGGTGCCCAAGCCCTAAGGCAATTTTGAAAGATTTCATTCCAAACCCTTATTGTGCATCACCTTTCACCTGTTTCCCAGACCATTAATACATCCAGCAGCATTATCCACAGAGCACTCCATTATCAATGTCTTCCCACAGAAACAATTTCTTTTCCAACTCTACTTTTTATTGTTTAGCTCCAAACCAAGTTTTAATCCTTCATACGATTTCACCCTTGGAGTAACCAACTTTCCTTAATAGTGTTTTGAAGAGCCTATGGAAAGTGTTAATGCATTTCTGCAGCTTCTCCCTCAGGAACGCAGCCTGCAAACTGCTAAGCATACAGATATGTCACTGAAGTCACACTGTGCTCAGGTGCTCAGAACCTCAGAGGTTCAGGCTCCTGTCATATTTATTAATTCAACAAAGCTTGCAATATTTTAATATAGTACATGACCAATATCTTGTTCAATTATTCACCCAGCTCTTGGTACAACATAAGACTCCTCCTAGTGCTCCAGGGTAATAGTGTTTTGGCCATGTTCATTATTAGGGTTAATATTTTAGGCCTGCTGCAACTGAAATTGCTGGTATGTTTTTGCAAGAATTCCAGAAAAATGGTGTCTGCGAGATGAACAGAGCGTTCTGTCACTCAAAGTGCAAAATGTCCTTATTTCCCATATTCCATATGTTTGCTTGTTTTTTCCAAATTAAAAGGAACCCATTGCCAGGAACATACACTCCCTAAAATGTCTCAGATTTTAAAGTACTCCATATTCACTTTAAAGATTAATCTCAAATCTAGTTTTATGTCTGTGAAGTGCAGTACATCATCCATGTCTGTTATTATCAACAATTCTGTCTTTTTTGGGGGGGAGGGGAGCGGAACCCAGGAATCCACTAACAGAAAGCTACTTTATTACACTGTATGTCCTAGCCAGTGCTTGGAACAATTAATTATTGAGGCTTGTCAATATCAGGAGATTCTGAGACAGAGATGACAAAGACAGAAGAAGCTAGACTATATTCAGAGGCATAGCGAGGATGTTATGTGCCTGGGAGCAAAGGCAAAATTTGCGCCCCCCCCCACCATGTGGCAGGGCCCTGAACCTGACACATGGCTGAGCCTGACCCTGGGAGGAGAGGGGGGGGGCTTGTACTGCATCTTCTGCTGCCCCCTCCAGTTTGGAGCTGGGCCCCTACACGCACTAGCTTCTGCTGCCCCCTCCAGTTTGGGGCTGGGCCCCTACACGCACTAACCCACCGGTGGAGATGGAGGCAGGCTGGGCTGGGGATGGAGAGGTGGGAAGGAGGCTTCAGCCAGTGCTGGTGAGCAGAGGAGGAGCAGGCAAGCCGAGGGATGACAGGGGAAGTGGAGGGGAACTAAATTGGCACCCTGCTAGCATGGCACCCAGGGGCAACTGCCCCCCCATCCTCCCTCGCTACGCCACTGACTATATGGGATGTATATTGTTGCGTTGTTTGCTTTAATACTGATCTAATATGGTTTAACATGGAACTTTATCTACATGAAGTAGGATCTCTTAGGGTGTGTCAGCAGGATCTTCACGGGGCAGTTAGAGCACAACACATTACAGCGCTCTACAGATTACACCCCTTCAGTGCACTTTGCCAGTGCTGTGTAGACAAGCATGTTTACTATGTAGAAAAACCCCAAGATCCTTAGAGGCCCCTGTAAATAAGCTTTGGTCTTGTCCAAACATAAAGATGTATCTACAGAACAAGCAAAAGTAGGTGGCTTTCATATTGTCACATCGAACATGTCTCAGGTCATGGGACACAGTTACAACAGCAAGCTTGCATTGCTTGTGAGTCAGATACAAGATCAGCCAAGGAAATAATCAAGTTCAGGGTTTTAATGATGTCAAGGAGGGACACAGAAGGGTCAAGAGCAGCATCTTGTCTAATTTGGTCTCTCTCATTTTCCACATAACTGACTGAACTCTCTTGCTCTTTGTTTTATTTAAGGCATTGCTGTTACAGTTTGATTTGTAAAAGGGACTTTCCATGGGCAAGACTAAGTACAAATATTAGTTGCCAGTGCTTGTGAAACAGCTGGCAGCATGAATAATAAACAGAAGCAGATGCAGTGGGGAAAAAGGGATGGATTGGTCCCCACTAGTTTGCCTATATCTCTCATTTCTAATTCTGTGGAGTAGACAGACTAACATATTATGTAAACCCAATGGAGCTGTTAGTTGTTATCTGCTGATGGATTTTCTGATTACGTGTCTGGCTTTTAGCAAGCAAGGAAAGTGATGGAAATAACAATACTTAATATTTGTATAACATCTTTCATCTCAAAAGATCCTCAGTTGGTTTCACAGGATACCCATATACAAGACTACTCAAATGCTGCTGCCTCTGGTATGAAGTGCAGCTATTACAGACTACCCTTGGTATAAGAGTGAAGAGGACAAATTATTGGTCACAACCCTCAGGGCATGGGATGTTTAACGTCTGTGCAGAGCAACCAGGATCTTGTTTTTCAAGATATTGCCCAAAGACTTCTGCCTACCACACAAAACACACTTAATTTATTTTAGAAAGAGGAAAGTCTGATTTGATCATGCTGGGATTTGAACTTGTTATTTCAGGTGTGTCAGAACTAGTGTTTAAAATCCATAAGGGTGAAGCCCCGCTCCCTCCTTTTTGCCAACAAGAGGCTTAACTCTTACTGCCAGGGCTGACCCTCTGCAGAGGAATAATTTTCCCTCTAAGATTATAGACCAGAGGTCATAAAACTAGAGTGGAGAAAGCATTGATAATGGACTATAATGAACAATCCTGCCCTGGCTACTTGGGGAGGGGGAATCAATAACCGAATAGATCTCTTCTGTTGCTAATGGCTTTCACTTTCGGATTCTGTGGGCATTGCATGCGGAGTTGCGTTAAAAAACAAAATGCAACATTATTGTTGGTGTTTGTGCTTGTCTTTGAGGAAGGGAAATATTCCCTAAGGATGTGGAATTTGGGAGCAAAAGGCCCTAACTCAAGAGACTGCTTCTCCCAATGGCACTATCTGCATTCATTATTAATGCGAATCCAACTAATGGAAGAACATTAATTACAATTAAGAATATTGTCTTGCTCGCTCTTGTAGTCTAAATGTAAAATGAAATAGCTTGACAGTTAATGGGACAAGAGACCCTTTGACTGCAGCATGATCACAATAGAATAGTATTTTCCATTTCTCCAGCACCCTTCACACAAGATCCTCTAAACGCTTTAGGACCAGTAATGCAAATTGACCAGTGTTGCTCCTGCTCAGTCTGTTTTTCCCAGGGATAAATCCAAATATATGTTCACACAGACTGATTTCAATTCCACATAGCTGGAATTTGTATTTAGAGTGTAGGTGGGGGTGGAATTCAATGTTCCATTGACAGATTTTCACTTGCCTCGTCTTCTCAATGAAGGTCCCTATGTGGGTTGAATTCATTGCTGTGCTTTTTTCATTAGCCTTCTGTACTCTGTGTTGTTCCTTGCGAACCAGCATGGGATTGAAACTATAAAACAAACTCTGATCTATCAGACCAAAACGTCAGTCCATCTAATCAAGGAGCTTTTACTGTTAGACATATAAAGTAAAGGTTTATTGTGACTGTGAAGGGTCAATAATCAACAAATGGGAACATTTCCCTTTGCTATTGCAAACAAACATCAGTTGAGGGGTGGGTTTGAAGAGGACAGAGACTGAGAAACTAGGTAACAGGTTTGTGTAGGTGATCTTCTCATGGTAGATGCAGAGAGTTCAATGAGCCAAGTAACAATGACATCAGGAATGATTGGATGAATCATTTTTTCCCTTGATCTGGATCAGCTGGCCTTGGGTAAATTGGTGGCATTGGTCTAATCCAAGGGTTCTCACACTTCATTGAACCACGACCCCCTTCTGACAACAAAAATTACTACATGTCCCCAGGAAGGGAGGACCAAAGCCTGAGCCCTGTCACCCTGTGTGTTTGTGTGTGTGTGTGTGTGGGGGGGGGGGGGGGGGGACAGGGCAGGGAGGCAAAGCCAAAACCTGAGCCTCACCTTCTGGGCAGGGGGAGGACCCCAAGAGCTTCAGCCCCATGCATGGAGCGTATGACCTGACCCCTGGCTTCAGAGCTGAAACCCTCAGGCTTCACTTTGGCCCACAGCGGTGTGTGACAGGCTTCAGCTTGGCCCCAGACCCAAGCATGTCTAACTCCAGCTCTGGCAACCCTATTAAAAAGGGGTTTGACCCGTATTTGAGAACCACTGTCCTGATAAAGAATAATGAAAAGGATTTTTATTTCAGTTCAGCATTAAGAAGACTACTGAACCCATCCAGCCTCGGACTCTCCTGAAGTTTCCCAACATCTATGGCCCAAAGCCAGTTGTGACCGCCTCAGAAATTGTTAACTATGTGGACTATGCCCTGAAGACAACTGAAGAGCCAGCCAGGGGAAAACAGGAATTTCTGGACCAGAACAGAATGAAGATCCAAGTCAATGAGGAGTTATTTGTTCTCCCTCAGAATGGTAGGAGAAGTTCTAAGTCCAATGGAACCATTTCCTATTCATACTGGTGACCATTGCTCCAATGCCCGGGTGTCTGATAAGCAACATAGGACTTGTACACAGGATTTAAGTGGAGTTATCATCAGAACAGTAGATGTAAAAATGACCATGGGGGGAACTTCATAGTTCTTGTCTCTCAATGATCCCAGCACAAACGTGCTCAGTTTACAAATTACCTGAGGCTTGCTTGGTCCACCATCATTTCAAGTGTGGTTGGTCAAGATATAGTAGCGATGGAGCCCATCGTGGGGTTCCAGTAGTATACATACACCAGAGCTTTGAATAATTTTAAATCCAGGCTCCTCTGGCCTTAGAGAGTCTAATTTTAACTGTTTGCGTCTGGCAGCATCCCATGCTTGTGATGGGTCTGTGCCCATATTGATTTTACCTCCTAAGCTGCCTTTTTAACAGCACAATTGATCCTGGTGGATATAACATCAATACAGTCTTCCTGGGGATTTTCCAGTGGGCATGGTGCACTCTGTGCATGGTATATGTAGAGATTTATTTTTAACTTGAAAAATCGTTTGCCGTACTTGATAGTTTCTCTGTCTCTTTCTGGGCAGGGAGGGCCACTCTCCCAACCCTTCCTCATTGGGAATGAAGGGGGAGGTGAGCATATAAGCATCATCCTAAAGTATCAGAAGAAAGGCAATAGGACTGGGCTGCTAAAGCAAGAAGGCTGCACATAGCCTGGCCTCAGAGCTCGAGGTGTGGGCATCAGTGCACTAACCTCTGTGCACGAACAACTCCAAAAGTGCTCTGGCTTCCTGCTGTGCCTGCTATCAAAAACCGAGTGTTGTTGAAATAAAACAAGAACTGTTTGCTTTCTCCTCTATATACCAGGTCATATTGATTTTGATTCCGACTGGCATTTGCTTGGGGGACTAAGTTCCAGCTCCCTACCATTTCTGCTTCTTGGGAATTTGTGCCAAAATGATACTGCAGACAAAAGTATCTCTCAATAAAATATGGTGGCTTCCTTTTTCGGTCCTTCTTGTGCTTTTCTTGAGGTAGTTAACCTAATATATACCCCCTTCCAAAGTCTTGTAAGAAAAACAGTCTTTCAGTCTACCACTTTCTACCTAGTCAGGCACTGTGGTAATTAATGTAACAGTGGCTTTCTGTGTGGAAAAGAATATCTTGAATTCTTTCCAATAGTTTTAATAAAATTTGTTAGTCTTGTAAGTAGGATCAGAGTCCACTCTGAAATCTTTACCCCACTGCCCCCCAAACATACAGTCTAATTCAGAGACTATGTGAAAAAGCAATCCAAGAGCAGGAACATGAATAGTTGTCACCTTGGTGGGTAATGGAATGAAAGGTCATAGCTGGCTTCCTAAAACCCAGGTAGTACACAGAAAGTGAAATCTGTCCACATCTGGAAGGAGGTGGAAGTGGAGAAGGGTAGAGCTACAGAACAGTGTGAAGCCAAGTGGTGAATTTGGGTTGATGAATAATGAAGTCTTGCTAACAGAGTAACTTCAGTTCCAGGTGCAGTAAAGGACGTGTGTGTCACAGAGCACCTGAACCCCGAAAAAGCAGCCAGCTGTAACCAGGTCCCCGAACTCCACTATTCCTTTGGGTATGATCGACAGAAAGCCGAGCTATGCGTGGCCTTTCTTGAAGGTAAGTGTCTCCCCACCCTGCCTATTTTATATAAACAATCCTTTATTTGAAAGATACACAATATATTCGGACTCTAAAAATCTTTCATCTCCCACATAATCATCAATATGTTCCTGCAAAATGGAGGGATGTTTCATTGGCTATAAGGCTTTCAAACTAGAAGTGCCAAGAGCTGTCACTGCTTGAAAAGACTGTACCATGGTTTAACCGCTAGAGCAGCAACTTGTGTTGCTCAAAGGCAGTAGGAGGGAATCAAAAGGTGTTCATCCTATTCTGCCCTTGTTAGAGGTGGCCAGATAAGGATCCCCCACTCTTACTGTTATTTTTAGGAAATGACAGTCTCAACATTCCCCTCCTCCTCCCACCTCTCCAGCCAACAACTTTTTTCTTTTTTGGTTACCCCTTCTGTCTGATCTTGTAATGCAGGGGTTTTCAAACTCTGGGTTACGACCCAGTACTGGGTTGTGGAATGCCAGGCACTGGGGCACATTGCTACAGGAGCATCAGGTGACCAGTGGGGGTGCTACCTGTTCTGGCACTGCAGACTGCTGTGCCCTAGAAGTGGCCGGCAGGAGGCCCGGCTCCTAAGTGTGTGTGTTGTGGGGAGAGCACACAGAGCTCCACACACTGCCCCTGCCCCGAGCACTAGCCCTGCACTCCCATTGACTAGGAACCTGCTGCTGGCTGCTTCTGGGTGCAGCATGGTCTGTAGTGCCAGGAGAGGCAGGACGCCTACCTTAGCACCCCCGCTGCACCACTGACCAGGAGCCACTCAAGGTAAACCCCTCCTCCTCCAGCCTTCCCCCACCAGCTGGAGCCCCCTCCCACGCCCCAAAGCTCACATCCTCAGGCCCACCCCGGAGCCCACATTCTAGTGAAATGATGTTCATTTGTGGTATCAACAATATTCTTCAACTGGGTCATGAGAAAAAAAGTTTGAAAATCCCTGCTGTAAAGGATGTGTAGGACAAACCTGCACCCGAGGCCCACCCCGGAGCCCACATTCTAGTGAAATGATGTTCATTTGTGGTATCAACAATATTCTTCAACTGGGTCATGAGAAAAAAAGTTTGAAAATCGCTGCTGTAAAGGATGTAGGACAAACCTGCACCCAGATTTATGATTCACGTAAGTGGCAGGAAAATCTACAGAGCTTCCTGCCGCTAGGCTACCAAAAGAAATGTCACTCTGACATGACATATACCAACCGCTGGTGCAGACCAAGTTGGAGGAAGAGATGGTTAAATCACATTCCTCATATATACTCTCTGGGTAGGGTAACTCCCTCCAGCTGAGCCTAGCCTAGTGACAAGACTCTCTGGCAATCTCACTAAGAACAAGCAGCTGGAGAGCTACTCACAGATAGGTCACTGTTAACCCTCTCCTTGCCAATTACAGTCCTTCTGGGAGCGTAGTTTCAGTTCCCCCAAATTCAGCCCAACTATCACCTTCCCAAGTATGCACTGAAGGGGAACTAAACTGCAGCCTCTGCACTGGGCAAGCTGCCAGCAACAAGCGCACAGCCCTCAGTTTCTTTCCAAGGTGGATGTGCGTGTTCAGTGAGTGCTCATTCACATGCTGTACTCTTCCTGTCTCCTCAGCAGGAGCTCTGCTCTCTTAATGAGACAGGGTCCCTTTGGGCAGTGTTTCCTGTACACTGGGCACTTATGCAGCTGCTCAGGCAGGACCAGCCCGAGCCATTCATGCGCCCTGGGCCCCAGGAGCGTGGTGCTGCCTCCGGGAGTGCGACACATGTGCGGCCCTGTCCCCAGGCGCCCGGTGCATGCATGGCCCCACTCCTAGGTGCCCAGCGCATGCGTGGCCCTTCCCCCAGGTGCCCGACACATGCGTGGCACCGCCCCGGACACGTGGTGCATGTGTGGTGCCGCCCCCGCCCGGCCCGGCAGCCCTGCGCAGCGCCCTCTACAATGAGGCACCCCGGGCGGTAGCCCACCTGGCCCATATCTTGGGCCGGCTTTGCGCTCAGGAGAAAGTCAAATGCCACCCAGCTGATTAGCAGAGCACTCACAGCTAGGTTCTTGTTGCACAGAAAACAATTATTCTACACATGTATGGAAACGATTAGAGGGAACATTGATCCTGGCTGTCAAAGATTTGTTTGCTCATAGTTGCCAAGCTAGTGGGCATCTCTCCATTGTCAGATAGGCACACTGACTTTTGCAGTCACAGAGAGGCCTTGTTTCCACAGGCTGAACCTCTCTGGTCCAGCATTCTCTGATTTGGCAATATCCATGGTCCGGCACAACTTTAAATAGCAAGATGTCCACTTATCATAGGTGTGGCCAAGTTTCCCGTGGTTCCATAAAAATTATTTACTGCCACCAATCCTGTCTCTCAGTGTTCTGTGTTGTTATTTTGCTCTAATTGACCCCTACATGTTTTCCAGAGCCCAGTAAGCAGTGGAAGTGTTCATAATGCTACTCAACAATATTGACCTCACATGGTTCTGCAAATTCTCTAGTTTGGCATTGGTCAGGTCCTGAGAATGCCAGATTAGAGAGGTTCAACCTGTACATTGCCTAGCTGAGGAGTAGAGTTGTTGCTGCAGTCAGGAGGGGTAATAGGTTCATTTGTCCCTGTTCATGAAACGTGTAAAATGATACTTTATGTCATTTTTTTTTCATTTTAGTCCTTCCCTGTTCATGAAACGTGTAAAATGATATTTTACGTCATTTTTTTTCATTTTAGTCCATTCAGTGAAATAAAAAATAGGAAAATTTGGGGCTGAATGCCAGAAGGAAAACTCTAACATTGAGAGCCATTGGACTGTGGAATGATCTCCCAAAGATGCCATTTCAAAAAAGACTAGACCAAATTGTTGGGAATGAACATTATGGACATACTATACTGGCCCTGCGGGATGGGCCAGATGAATTAAGTGGCCTTCTATACCTCTGTCTTCCATGATTGACCAATTCCCTGAAATATATTTTATATGAGACTCTCTTTCTGAAGGTAAATTAAAATCCCCCTGAACATTTCATGTTGTGTCTTCTCAGGTTACTAGTTCAGTGCCTTGGAATGGTGCATGTTTGCTTAAGTGTGCTGCAAAATCTCCCAGACAATAACAATATCCTTATGTAGTTGCTGAAGGACAATGACAAAATATTCTTGGACATTTTGAAGGCACATAAAATAACACAGGGCCCTGGACTTTAGTCTCTCCAGTGCTAGTTAGAAGAAAGAGCAGGCTTCAGCCACATCTTGGATGTCTGTGCATCCATTTCATTTTATGACTATTGTGAGACTGGCAAAGGTCCCACAGCCTTCTGCCAATTAATACCTAGTTCTTGTGATAGAATATTTCTTGTAATGCAACCTCCCTTTCTTTGTCCTACAGCTATGCATGGAAGCATGACAGGGGATCAGGATGTTGGCTGTGATTGCTATATCCTGGGCACCTTGGTGAGCAAGTCTGGCATCACGGAGGCCCAGACAGTGCTGAAGAAGAAAGTGCACCACATTATCTGGGAGGAAGCTCTGCTGTTCCCATTAGCGGGGGAGGAGGTGCAAGAAGGAACACTGACTCTCACTTTGAGGAACTGCGACAGGTTCTCTCGGCACAGCATTGTTGGAGAAATTAAACTGAGCCTGACTAATGTGGGGGAACCCTTCAGTGTGGCCCAGTGGGAGAAACTGAAGACACCTCAGAAGGTATGTCAATTCCTATCCATAGCTCACGCAATGCAACAAGAGTTAGTTTCTGAAGCTAGAGAAGCTTGTTTCAATCTGTCTGTATTTCAGGCATGTAATAACCAGGTCTGCATTTACACCAGGCCAGATTCTGAATGGGGATGAGCCTCCACAACTCCAGTGACTTCAAGAGATCATCAGCACAGCTCAAGATCTGACTATTTCAGCAAATAATCCAAGTGCCCCAACTCCTTTCCTAACTTTATAGCTCACAGCACCTACATAACCCCTCCTTCTCCTTGTGTTACATGACAATTGCTGACCTGCAACAGTCAGCATCAATATCTTGGGGCTGTTGCAGGGATGATCTGAGGTTCGCTAGGTGAGCTGTGTGGGCGTTCTAAACTGGACTAGCTAGAGGTGGTGTCGGCCAAGAGTGACCTACAGCATACGAGCTGATCTACAAAGGTGCTCCACAGACATCAGGATGGAGCTGCATTGCAGAGCTGTGGGGAGGGCGAGGCAAGGAATGGAATACAGAGAGTGCTGTAAGTTAGGATTGAAATGTATCAGTGGTGCTAAATGTTGGAAACATGCACCTCTGCAGCTACCTGGCATTAACCTAGGCAGAGCTATTATTTCTTAGGTTTCCTGAGCAGCAAGTTTTGTGAGCCTTTATGATTTTTTAAAAATGTAACTCCTGAGCACGAGGATCAAACAGAGACAGGATTGTGATAGACTCCGTGTAGTCAGATCCAGGGTGCTGGACAGAGCAAAAAATACAGCAAGGGACAGGCATTGCTGAGTGTTGTTGAACACTGAAGTAATCATCTGGCCTTGTAATGCCTGAGGACTACACAGTGAATTTTCTTAAATCGCAGAACTTAGACTCTGCATCAGCAGTTCACCAGCTTCCAGCAGTGCTAGTTTACATGGACAGCACTCAGATACTACAGTGCTGAGCACTATGGAAAACCCTGAGATAGACAGATGGACGATAGGAATAAATGGATGGCTAGGACCAGTTTATCAGATGGTGTTTATGGCGTTGGCTACAGGGGAAACTTTCACCAATTACACTTGTATTAACGCCCCCCCCTCCCCAACACCCTCTCTGGACATCCTTGTTCCAGTGTAAGAGTGGCTTTTTTTTTTCTTGTTTAACTTCACCCCTCCCCCCCTTCTATCTGGAATAAGAATGTTTACCCAGTGAGTTATATCAGTATAACTGTATTGGTGTAAATTCACATTTTAGGCTAAACTGAAAAGCTTTTTCAAGTTCAATATCTGCTCCAGTAATTATTATACAAAAGGTACCAAGATGCTCCCTGTATGTAGCAATTAGGAGACATCAATACATCTTCAAGATGACAGGGCCCTGGACATATTGTCCCCTCTGCCATGTTCCATCTTAACAGCCACTCACTTGATAAGGCAAAATGTATTCCTTTTCTAACCTGAGAGGAGAAGGCTAACATTGACAGTGGTTATGAACAGTGCCCCATTTTGAGCTGAAAGATGTGCAGTGAAAGCGGTCTTTGCGTCATCAGGGACCTGGACGAACCAATCAGTACACAGCCAGCTTAAATATAAGTCATGAATCATTAATTGAGAGCCAGGGCGGGAGGGAATGAGGGAGCAAGAAAGAAATGATCAAACAGCCATAGGAGCTATTTTTATCAGCATACATCGAAGAAAGATGTTGCTGGAATTTGTTTAAAATTTGATAATCTCCTGAAAAGCCATGAGCTGCAAAAGTGTCAAACCCACCCCCTCTAGAATTCTCTTACTCAAATACAAGAACGGAAAGGGGAGCTCACAACTGCCCAGGTAATGTCACTGCTCTTTGGAAATATGGGAAGTACTGTCACAGTCTTAGAGCAATGTTTTCCACATTATGAAAGCTGCAGATGCTAGATTACTACTGCTAGTCATGTCCTTCTCTCCCTTCAGCCTGGTTTAATACTCTCTGCTTCATAGTACCTTCCACATGCATCATTAACTGATTAAACCTCATGATGCATTGGTGCGGTGGGACGTTATTAGAGTCTGTCAAATAACTGATTTCTTACAAATGTACTCTCAGTTTTGAAACATTAAAAAAATGGTCCTACTTTATCCAAAAATCCAAAAATTCCAAATAATTTTGAATGAAAAAAGTCAATCAAACTTTCATTTCCAGTTGAACAAAACATTTCATTCAACCTGAAACAAATTGTTTCATTTAATTTTTGTGTGCCTTGCGACATAAAAAGTGAAAGAAATGAAAAACTAGATTAACAAAACAGTGGTGTCGTTCCATCAGGGATTTGAAATTATGTCTCCCAAATCTGAAGAGAACTTCCTAATCATTGAGCTGTAGGGTATTCTGGGATAGGACTTGCTGGGTATATCTACACAGCAACGTTATTTCGAGATACCAGAGGTATCCCGAAATAGCTACCCCGCATCTTTTGAATGCACCCGTTATTTCGAAATATAGCAGACGCACTATTTCACCATCCCTGTAAACCTCATTCTATGAGGGGTAAGGGATGGCTCGAAATAGCGCTTTATTAAATGACGAAATAAGCTATTTTGAAATAGACTCGAAATAAACTATGCAATTTGCAGTGAATTCAGTGAATACATGGGCATTGTAAGTAGCCTGATTAGACTCCATGTAAATTAATTCAGATTTAGCACAGGTTTTTCAGAAGATGGTTGAGTATAAGGTATTCAGTGCTGCCTGCGCACCTTACCAAAATTCATAAAATAGGCCTACAAAATCTAAGTACTTTATTTAATCTGAGTTTGGAGTTTCCCTGGTAATGACTTCTGTGTATGAGTCATTCCAATCAGATAGTTATGACAGCAACATTTTCTCAAGAGTAAATCTGTTATTAATGAATGTCTGTTCACATCCACAGCAGCCAGCAAGCGGAAAACTTAATCTGAAATATTAATAGCCTACTTAAAACTGAGAGAGGAAGGCACAAAAAAGTCCTGGATAAGGGATCTCTCTTGTAAAGACTCTAGTCTTTTGTGGTAAGCCCGAGGGGAATCCACTCAATTGAACGCTGGCTTTCAATGACCTTTCTGGACCACTTACCTCACATTAAAATGGGGGTTTCTGTCTCATGCTGGTGCTGCCTACTTAAAAATGAATGATTACTTCCCCTTTGTTCCTCCTTTCATATCTCTGTGTGCACATATATTCTCTGTCTCAATCCTCTGACTCCCCATTAGAAAACAATAACATTTTCAAAGGAAATATCAGTTGTCATTAGTGTGATTATCTTCTTCTCGTCCTGCCTACAAGCAGGGGCAGATGACCGTTTTGCAGGGCCCCGGGCAGCATAATTCCGTAGGCCCCCCCCCCCCTTTGCCACGGCTCATGCGCAGGGCTTTTTGAAGTGTGGGGCCCGGGGCGGCCGCCCCGTTCGCCCTGCCCTATATCCGCCCCTGCCTACAAGGATATATGTCAGTGAGGGAGGGAGGAAGCCCAGAAGGCTAAGCAGACAATCACTAATGGCATACAGAAAGGAATTATGGCCCTGTAAAGCAGGGGTGGGCAATAACACAGTAGCAATTCACTGGCGGGTCCCCACTGCTATATTTACCTGCATGGCCGTAAGTACCAGCTATCGCGGTTCCCGTTGGCCACAGATCAACATTCCTGGCCAATGGAGTGGCAGGAAGCAGCATGGACAGGGACACCACTTCCCGCAGCTCCCATTGGTGGGAACGGTGATCTGTGGCCAATGGGAGCTGTGATCACCAGTACCTGTGGCAGTTCAGGTAAATATAGTGATATATTTATACGTTCGCCCTGCCCTATATCCGCCCCTGCCTACAAGGATATATGTCAGTGAGGGAGGGAGGAAGCCCAGAAGGCTAAGCAGACAATCACTAATGGCATACAGAAAGGAATTATGGCCCTGTAAAGCAGGGGTGGGCAATAACACAGTAGCAATTCACTGGCGGGTCCCCACTGCTATATTTACCTGCATGGCCGTAAGTACCAGCTATCGCGGTTCCCGTTGGCCACAGATCAACATTCCTGGCCAATGGAGTGGCAGGGAGCAGCATGGACAGAGACACCACTT